TCCCCCCATGGCCTGCCCCAGCTCCCGCCTCTTTAAAGAACGGCCCCCACTCACCAGGTGCTGCCCGGTGAGGGGGGGTGCCCACTGCCCTCCACTCCATGGGGGGGCTCTGCCATAAGCCTCCTGACCCTTCCCCACTCTCCCAGTCCCCCCAGGGCTGCCCCCTGCCCCAGCTTCAGCCCTTTAACAAAAAAAAGAAAACAACGCCCACCCCAGACTCATCACATCCTGCAGCAGCCTCGGGGCTTCAGGGGGCTTGTGGAAGAGCCCCCCATGCACTGCAGGCAGTGGGGGGCGACAGGGATAGGCCTCCGCCAGGCATGAACCAGTGAGTCTGGTGTTTTGGTTTTTTCTTAACGGGCCAGAGCTGGGGAGGGCAGGGCAGCCATGGGGGTGGCTGGGACAGTGTGAGGGAGGGTTAGGGGGCTCATGCAGAGCTCCCCATGCAGCACGGGACAGGGGCGATGTGTAGGGGGTGCACATGAGTGCACGTGCACCCCCCCCTAGTGTGGCAGTGCACCCCCTATAAAAGGCGCTGCCAATACTGTCAGCGGTGCCTGCGGGCAGTTGCCGCTCACCACCCCACTGCCGGCACAGGTGGTAGCATCTGCAGGTGGTCTGTGATCCCTGCTGGCTGCTGCTGCCGGTGGCAGCTGCGGCTAATCACCAACCCTTGGATTGAGAAATGATTTCTGTATTCTCTAAGGTGATGAACCAGAGGGAGTCCCTATGTAGCTCATTCGATTTGTCCAGACTGGAGATAAGCTTTAAATCGTGGTGTTGGATATAAATCATTGTGGACCACCGTTCGCTGGCTAAAACAGTGTGCTCTAAATGTCAGCTAGTTGGAGGAGCTAGACAAGCAGAGGCATAACTGGCCACTTGAGCACTGTGGGAAGCCCCGTAGGGCAAAATCAATGGCTCTGGCTCACAGTAGTGGTGGCCAGGCCAGCAGTACAGGTGATGCTATTTTTGCACCCCCACAAGGATCACGACCAGGCCTGGTGCCCCAGTCATCCCCCTCTTCATTACACTACTAGAAAAAAGTAAGGTAGAGTAGGCAGATGAAAATTAGCCACAGAGCATCTGTTGCAAGATCTGACCCTTCTTTAAAGCTTTGAGATCCCTTCAGTGAAATTTCCTTGGCATTTTCTGGATCTATATGTTCAGGGTCTAAGCCAAGTAAAATCAAAACAGATGGGCTTTAATAGCTGCTCTAGAAGCATATGGCGGTCCTTCATAGACTAGTTTCTAAATTCTTGCGGGATCCCCTTTTGTGCAGTTCATGGGACAGGGCTTAGCCTGGAGATAAGGAAGAGTTTTTCTAACCAGTTTGTTAGTTTTGGATCTCCTTCCCAGAAGTGCCAAAGTCATTACTGCCTGTCTTGTCTCATTCATATCACGTGTACTAAAGAAAGCTTATCCTTGATGGTTTTAAGAGCCATTTCAATGTTCTCTCTGTCTCTATGTTTTATGACTTTTCATCCTTGTCCTTCCTGCCAATGAGAAATTAATCTTTTTCAGTAAAGCGTGCCTAATATTTATTGGGTTGTTTTTCCGGTCATTAAATCTTACATTTAAAACTAGGGATCCTTTTGCCTGAGAAGTCTGTATGATCAGGAGAGCTGGTTTTGCATCATGTTGTGCATTAGGTTTTTGTATGGCACTAAGATGCTAGAGACATATTGGTTAGCATCTTATGAATAGGCTTTACCAGCTTCTCTCTCAGACCTGAGGAAGACCACTTTGTGTCAGAAAGCTTGCCTCCCATATCTCCCAGTTATACAGTCGACTTAATAGAAAGCACCACCAAACCCCCCCGCCCCTCATGTCTGTCAAGAAGCCCCATTTCCTGACAATACGTCATGTCTCTTCTAGCATTATTGAATATTTCTCTTTTTAATGAGAGAGCTTAATTTTTGCTCCTGGCTGTTTCAATAAGAAACTTCTAACACACATGGGACATATGTGTCTACTTTCTCTTTTATACCATGGACTTTTTATGTTAGAGCATTTCAGGGTATGAACAATGGAATGAGCTACTGTAAGAAAAAAAAGGAGAGCATCCACTGTTCCAGAGTAGGTGGCTATATGCACCCTTACCTTCTAGTAGATGAAAATCATGGACATTTCTTTTGTACACACAACATTCCTGCAGCAAAGTGTCTGCCGCTTAAGCCATCCACGTGGAATTAGGTTGACTGCAAACATATTTAACATCTTTGTCTTGAAGCTTCTCTGGCAGATGAAACCCAAACTTTGGCTTTCATCTATCACAGGGTAAGAGCTTGCTCATAAAGCTGTTGCCATGTGGCTGCTGATGTTCAGTAAACTCATGCATCCTTTTAGCTCATATGAACTGGTTCATCTGCACCTGCCCTTACTCACCTAAGTTGAAATAGCCCTGAAAGTATTACCACGGACTTCAGTGGGCAAGGATTACATCCCCTAAGTATGGAAAAAGTTTTAACATAAATCTGGGCCTGCTCTTTTTATTCAACAAATAATATGTACAGGGGGCAGCAGAGCTTCAGGACAGTGCTGTCTGATCTATGTGCAATGGACTTTATTTCCAGGCAAAAGTGATGGTGGAGGTTGTGGACACCTTAGTGCAGAAGAAATCTTTATATACAAAAGAAATTCCCCTGTGTCAATGAATAAACTCAGTGTCTTTAGCAAAGACATCAATTCCAGGGACAGTGCAATTATTAATATTTAGCAGTCCACAACAATTTTGCTGTTACAATGAACATCCTATAATTTTTCTCTAAAGCCATTAAAAACAAACAGTATTTAAATCCTATTAGAGACTTAAATAAGTGCATCCCCCCCCCAAGGGGAAAAAAAGCCTAAACTAGTGTGGCTCAACTTTTCACACACTGGTTGGGGTTTTCTCTTACTCTGAAAAGCCCATTAATAGTATGGTCTTTCGACTCTTGTTTGCATTATCTTTACAATAGGTTTTTCTCCATAGGATTCAGCAGGCTGCTGGCCACAATAAACTTATTTATTTATTTTTCTTAAAGGATCCTGGTTAATCACAAGAAACAACTGTATTCATAAATAGCCAGCCTTTAAACCTGTTCTGTTAAAAGGCAATTTTCATTAGCCTCCACGAACCCAAGTAAATCTGTTAACCCTTTCTCTCTTCCAGACATACAGACAAATGCAAAAGAATCTAGCTTCTTTCTGACCACACTAGAAAAAAAATATAATTTCATTTAGAACAGAAAATATTTCTGGTGTCAGCTTTCTGGCTTACCCAGCTTCGCTATTCCTGCCGCTGTCTCCAAAGATAAGCTTTTGCAGGACACAGGCTTGAACAGCAGCCAGTACTCCACACGGGCCACCCTAAAGTGAACAAAATGTTGCATGAACAAAACAACTGGTTCTGTCCGATGCCGGCAAGAACTTCTCATAGCTGATGTGTTTTCCTTCAAATTTAAGCCATACTTTATCTGTTTTGACTCTGGTGTTTGAAGCACTTACGCCCTCTTTCAAACAACTGAAAAAGTCAGCATTACTAACTGGAGTTGCCAGGCCCATGTATTCTTTCTGAAAATGCCTAGATCATACTGTATGCATGGCTGGGATATCAAGGAAAAGAGTCTAGTCTCTTCTAAAGTCCACTGAGCATGCAGCAAACCTGAAGTCCAAAGTAAGGTCCAATCTAACGGGCAATTAACCTTGTGTGGTCACATCAGACAAGGTTTATTCACCATTTAAGTCCTACTTATACCTTCCAACCAGAGTTTCAGTAGTGCAGGTACCTCGCGGAAAACCTCTGTACAGACGGGAAATGTCACCCAGGGTGAGTTAGAGGGAAAGAAGGACATTGTATGCTAACAGCGCTTCTGGTAAGCACTGTCACAGGAAGATTAACAGCCCTTCTGCCTGCACTGTTTTCAGGTGCAAATTCATTTTTAGATATCTGAAGCCTACTCTGACATATGGTATGAATCATAGAAAGTGAGGGTTGGAAGGGACCTTGGGAGGTCACATATAGTCCAACCCTTGCTCAAAGCAGGACCAGCCCCAGCTAAATCATCCCAGTTAAGGCTTTGTCTAGCTGGGTTTTAAAAACCTCAAAGGATGGAGAATCCACCACATCTCTGGGTAACCTGTTCCAGTGCATTACTACCCTCCTAGTGAGAAAATTCTTCCCAATATCCAACCTAAATTTCTTTTGCTGCAGGTTCAGCCCACTGCTCCTTGTTCTGTCATTTGCCACCACTGAGCACAGTCCAGCTCCATCCTCTTTTGAACCCCCTTCAGGCAGTTGAAGGCTGCTATTAAGTCTCCTCCCAGTCTCCACTTCTCTACACTAAGCATGGCTAGATAGCAAAATACACAATAGCTTATCTGTAGTATTTTAATCTAACTAGCACAAATCACCACAGCAGTGAGGATGCAACAGAATGGGTTTTAGCACATGCTAATATCCAGACTGGACCCCCAGGATCCCTGGTGGGTTTACACTTTGGTAAACTGTATATGCTAACGCTGATGTAAGCCTATCTTCACTGCTATCATTAGGCATGCAAACTAGATTAAGCTAACACAGGTATGCTACCACATGCTACAATCACCCCTTTACTTTCTTATATAGACAGACCAGCACACAAGAAATTAGCTTCTTGTACTTGAGAATGAACCTGCACTGCAAATCGGTCACATATCTGGAGAGAGGAGCTTTTAATTTTCCTGTAACGGTGTTTGAAAGTGGCACCATTATCCAGCTAAAAGCAAT